TACGACGGCGTGTAATACGTAACCTTGCCCGTGTTGATTACATGATCTAATCCCTAATGTGTTCTCGTTGCTATGTGGCTAGGAAATTGATCATTTTACTCGCCCACTCATCTGCTTGTGCTTCTACGATCACGTCAATTGCAGCAACAAATTGTACACGAGGGTTGTTAGCTCGATTGCACCGTCACTTCCTGTCACGTGCAGGGAAATACACCATGCACTATGTGACGTCGAACGTCGGTTGGTGAGGGAGGCTAGAGGTGAAGGTGATTGTCGTCACGTCGAGTTTGATTCCCAACATAGGAACAGGTCCCAACAAGTCTAATGTCACCCATCGTACTGCTGCAATAATGCGGCATAAAACTAGACTCAGCCACAAATGACGTCACACATGAGTCATTAAAGATGACATCATAATCTCACAATTCATCTTGAAATATGGCAGTAACTTTGTTCTGAGTTCTGTGAACATCAATACCCCTTGACAACTCCCTATACCAGCGGGATATGATCGTATCCGTCAAACACCTCCACTATTTGAACAAGATAGAAAGACTGATTACGCGTTGAATTACATCACTCAAGCACACAATCCTTTAAATTCTTGAGTGATTTATGTTGATGACAGGTTGGATGCAGCTATCCGTCCAAACAGGCAATTTGCATTTCAAACAAGCAAAACAGTTAAATGCATTCAGTATGTTTGCGGAGACAACTCAATTGAATCTGTCTTTCATCAAACAAGGTATTTGACACCCCGTTAATTAAGATCAACCAGCAAATGGGTCTTGACACGTCCTTTGACGACATACGATTAATTCGCAGTCGTTGTGAGTCAATACGCTTTTCCAAAGGTAATTGTTATGGGATTGTGATCGTGTTGAAAATATATAGATACCATATAGAGTTACTCCTGCAACATTGACGAGAGGATATTACACATTAATCAGCTCCGTGTCACTATCAATTTAGAAACCATTACACTTAGAGAGGCTTGTTTGGTATTACGTTAATCACACAAGGTCTGTCCCGGATATGGACACATTCAAAGTGTTTTGGTGAGTGAGTGGGTTTTACGTCACTTTAAATAGTATTTCAGCTGACGGTGGGGTAGCCTAGTGGTTAAAGCATTCGCTCGTCACGCCGACGACTCGGGTTCGATTCCCCAAATGGGTACAATGTGTGTAGCCTATTTCTGGTGTCGTGATGTTGCTGTAATATTGTTAAAACATCCTCACTCACTCACTCGGTATTTCAACTATATCACGCATAACGTGTCTGCGTAATATGGGATGGAAACCCGAAATGATACAGATCTCAGCCGTTTCCTATTTTGCTTGAACCCATATGTGTGGCGCTAACCCACCACGATCACTATATCCGGGGTTAACTGGAGGATGTATCAGCAGATCCTGACACAGCTAATGGACACAACTCCGTGCTGTATTTTCAGCGTCCAGTGCAAGGTGACTGTGTGGCGTAGACCCAACTTCGGAATAGGCTGTTTCAATACTATACCAACCTCACTGCAACTTTTATATGATCGTGTGTATTTCTATGCTTCTGGTTACCATTTCACCATGGCAACGGTCAAAACACGACGCGTGTTAAGTACACGTAAAGTAAACATTGTCTTGTTTCAACACTGCTGTGAAAGTAACGTGTTACTCCGTTGAGCATAGCAAGGTCAAGGTCAAGGATGAGACGAGATGTTTGCACATAAACACACGAGACTATTATGTAGACCGGACGGTTTTATTCCACTGTGAATTTCTAAACATCACTACATCGAGGCGCCGGGATCGGTGGGGTAGCCCAGTCGTTAAAGCGTCCGCTCGTCACGCTGAAGACCCGGGTTCGATTCCCCACATGTGTACAATCCGTAAAGCCCATTTCTGGTGTCGTGATGTTGATGGAATATTGCTAAAAGCGGCGTAAAACCATACTCACTCACTAAGTCGATGCACCGATTATGCAAACCACAATATTATTCCTGTATGTTAACATTCTAAATATCTCATCAGTTATCCAGTCATTATCTGCAGAGCTGCTTTCGTGGGTGCTCTAGAAGCCTACGGTCGTTGGTTCGAGTGCTGGATCGACATGACTATGCTCCGACATTTCCCAGCACAATACTCAACATCTCACACATGCATTATTTCGGGCCCTCCTCCCATTTTAAACAGACACCCCATGATATAACTGGAATACCGTTCAAAGCGGCGTTAATTCAACGCTTTCACTCACTGTCCAGTGATTCGAGATAACGATAACCCGCATCTTTCCCCTCTGCAACTTGGATACAAAATGGAGTACCTCGGCTATCTGCTTGCTTCCATTCCAACCGATAAACTTCGTATAGCTACAAAGGGCACACGTTAGCTATCTCACTTATCACTTCACCTCATCTACCAAATGTGTGTGTTATAATTACAAAGAACAGTACTCATTATACTGTTCAAACATTTGGAAATATAAAAAACATAAATCCATGTTTACAAACAACTAATTATACTTAAAACATTTGCAAATATCAAAACATAAATATAGTTTACAAACAAATCATCATACATCCAATACGCAAGTTGTCTAGAGAAAGTAACGATAGCAATGTACATGAGATATACAGTGTACATCCAATACACACGATGTCAAGAGAAAGTGACGATTGCTATGTACATGAAATATACAGTGTGTCAGTTTAATGAAGATGTAATGTACATCCAATACACACGATATCAAGAGAAAGTGACGATCGCTATGTACATGAAATATACAACATGTCAGTGTAAAGACAGATGTAATGTACATCCAATACACACGATGTATAGAGAAAATGACGATTGCTATGTACATGAAATATACAGCATGTCAGTGTTATGAAGATGTAATGTACATCCAATACACACGATGTCAAGAGAAAGTGACGATTACCAAGTACATGAAATATACAGCATGTCAGTGTAAAGACAGATGTAATGTACATCCAATACACACGATGTCAAGAGAAAGTGACGATTACCAAATACATGAAATATACAGCATGTCGGTGTAATGTCATAACACCTATCAGAGAAACTGACAAGACAGAATCAGAACAATGCAGATGAAACACACAATCGACGGTGACAATTCATCAATGCCATTGAGCTGGGGAATCTACTAGCATTATACTCAGACAAGGATATCTCATTTACCCGTCGATCGTTTCACAGAGACCTCGACTCAAGTTGTCACTGTGAAATCGACACGGTTTCTTGTCGCAAGGCATAGCGTCGATAACCAAGCCCAATTGGGGCTAGTTAATCTCTTTCATAGTTTTGTTAGCTTACACATCTGACACCTTGAATTCCTACCGAAATCAATATAACTCTGTATGATACTTGGACTACCAATTGTATTCCGCGATGAATTATTAACAGGTTGGTATCAATATTCATTGTGTCTTACTAACAATGTTACACTGATAGGACACATACCCTAGCCATTTGTTGAGGCGATCACGAAACAGATTTTTAAAATGTGCTGTCAACGGGAGCCTGCATTCTCGGGTATTACGTAACAATGTAGTGGAGATAAACAGAACGCGTTGTTTGGCACAAATTCATCATTTTAAGAGTATTGCTTTCGAAGACCAACACGTATTCATTTGCTATGTCGAAATAACGCATATTGATTTGTTTTAGATAATGCACCTCGCCATGTGAACAGGCATTTATGTCTGCACATAATTTAATAATGTAGGTTTTTCTATGGAATGCGCCACTGGCGTAATTTACTGATGTGTGTAACGGTAAATCAGCTGTGCATGATTGACGTCAGCAATACATATACATGACATGTACATCTGTAATGTACAAGGTTGGTTGGAGCACGTGTTTCATCTCACGGGCTGTCACCACCGTTGAAATAACGTGTGTTTTCCATTAAAACAATCATAAAAACCACGACGATCTGGTTATCAATAATGTCTACCAACGAACATTACTATTACATCTGACATGCAGAAATATATGCTTAATCAGTTTCGTATTAACAAATGTTTCTTAAATGAAATGCCAGTTTGGTCGAGATCTCGTTGCAATATTTTTCGCAAGCTTTAGTTTCCCCCTGACGTTTGATTCACATCAAACCCGGCATCAGTTTGTCAAAACATGTCATTAACACACATACTCGCCAGTCCGTGACTTTAATGAGAAACTAGTAAATTTCCGTAAAAGGATATGCAATGGTCAGTGAAAAAGCCATGATTCAAACCCCGTAGGAATAATGAAAATGGGAAAATTCACGAGTCTAAACAAAAAGTCGGCAAATTCTATTGATTCCGTTCTCGATGGAATAAATTCCAGTTAAGTTTTTTCCTAGAAGACTTGCTCTTTCGTATCGTGTGATTGCATACAGCTAAGGGGAGTGATATTGTTGGGGTTCATCTTGCTGTGACACTGCCGTAGAGGCTGCAGTATCCATAAGAGATGATATCAATGTGTCAGTCCTCCTAACGAAACACTCATGGTGTAGGTATCTAGCTGCAAACCACAAGCATCCTTGTTTGATTAAGCCCAGCTGGTGCTTTGGATCTCCCTCAATTGTGATACGAATTCAAAGTCTGAACACTAATGTATTAATTACATATGTACATGTGTCATGGAGTTATTCTGTGCCTATTATATATACTGTTGATAGGAAGGGTGAGGTATCGTTCAATATAAATATTTGGATCTAGATGTGAAAATGAGTGTTTGATCCTCATCATGTCACGAAGATTCGTGATAGAGAACGGCAGATTGACACGTAAGGTGGCTGAAGAAATGTCATGTGTCCCCCTTTTCATCCCTCCATATCAGCTTCCTAACACCACAAACTACGAACAGCCTTAGAATATCAATTGTCATAAATGTACATAATTCGACATGCTGAAAAAGAACCTAATACACGTTTCCTTTTCAATGTGGAACAGCAATATAGATTAATGTATCCGTGAAGGAAAAAAAATCACTTACCTTTCGTGGGAACATATAGATTGAGTGTGAGACAGTCCTCCCCTTGTTCGCTTAAGAACGGGGTGATGTTTCTCAGGTGTGCCACCCGACCTTCAGGTAAGCTCAGACTTAAATCCCTTTCGTGGTGAGTGACTTGTGGACAGACTGGTTGGTTTTTAACAGCTACTCGAATTCCCGTCCATTTTTCAACAGGGTTTTTTGGGAGGCATAAACCGCATATTCCCTTGGTCAAGATCAGCGTAGCGGAGGCCTAAGTAGGCCTCGACCGGGCGTAGATACCGGTTTGGAAACTCAACAAGAATTCCTCGAACTTTTCCATACCTGGTATTAATAACACGGGAACTCAGCTGTTTCATGATCACTCGTCCCCCGCTCTGTTCCAGGTGTAAACTAAACACAAACACAAGGACAAGGATGACAATGCACTCTACCCCCAGGCCGCCCATAGTAACGAAAACTTAGATAACACACTGCCAACTTTTTCACTGCTTTTCATGACATGAACTGTAGAAGCCGCCTGTGCTACTGCCACCAGACAAAGTATCCCTTTGAATAGCTATATCGATGCTCAGCTTGGCCGCTACCCACTTTATAAAGAGATCGCAATTTTCAGCCTCAGCGCGAGGAACAGCGAAGCATGGTCGGATTCGAGCGGCGAGCAATTCTGGCTTGTTTGAAAACATCACTTCGGATCCTCCGCGGGTGTCAAATTTAACTGGAGAGTTCGTGTGCCGTGGAGGCAGACGTGTGCCCCAATAGAGTGCGCATGCGCAGAAGTGGCAGTTCGTCTCACGGCTGAATGAGACGGGGGAAGTACTGTGTTTGAGTGAAGAAGATGATGAATTAGAGCTGGTTTAGAAGTGTAAAGCCGTGAATATTCCCACACCTCGCCACCGGCGGGCAAACGTACAGACCAACTGCACAGGGAGATATATCAAGGTTGTATTCACGTGGGAAGTAGGCGGCGAATGCATAGGGAAGATCTCCTCTGTTTTTCAACTCCCTAGCTTAGGGAACGTATTTATTTGACCGTTGGACTCAATGAATTTTATTTCCACTCGATCGAAGATGCCTTGTGCTGTTTTCGTCACACTTTCAACGGGTCGTTCCATTGGTAATGAGTGGAGTCTGATTCCTGATTGTCTTCCACGTTATCGGAGCATCAGGTTTACGCGGCATTTGGCGGCATAGCTCGATATCTAGCCATTCCTTCTGCTTGGGTTGCAGGACTCAAGGGCAATCTCCCACTTGGGAATATCCCATTTGGTAAAAAAGTTATTATTAAAACTGCAAAATCTGCAGGTTTCCGTTGGCAATGAGGTTTCTTGTTATCTCTGGGGACGAGATGAGATAACTGTTTAATAACATGACAAATCCCCTTTCGTTGACTCTATAGGTCAGTTGCGGTTCTGTGAGTGATTGTGTGACACAGCAATTGACAAATATACATTGGGAGACGTCACTTGCAATTATAACGAAAATCGAAAGAATTTCTTCAGTACTTAAACCTAAAAATGTTGATCCAGTAAATTTATAGCAACCTACTTTAACTCGCATGTTGTAAAATGGAAAGTTGTCAGTGCCGACTAGTAACCACCACGTCAGACCACTCTCTCTCAGTTCTATTCTTGTTATAGAGACTCTCTCTCTCTCTCTCTCTCTCTCGTTATCTCTCTCTCTCTCTCTCTCTCTCTCGTTATCGAGTCCTCATACCTCTCTTCATATCGATTTTTCCGCATGTACTATAAACGTCATTGTCACAGGTCCACATATCGCTTGTTGTATAGTGAGTGTGCTATACATCTCACTCTCTAATTGTACCCGTGGAGACAGGGTTAGAAATGGTCTTCAGTAACCCATGCTTGTTGTAAGAAGCGACTAGCGGGATCGGGAGGTCAGGCTCGCTGAATTGGTTGACACATGTCATCGTATAGCAGCTGCGTAGGTGGATGCTCATGCTGTTGATCGCTGGATTGTCTCGTCTAGACTCGGTTATGTACAGACATCCGCCATGTAGCTGAAATGTCAAACATCAAACAAATAACAAGCAAATAGTGTGTAATTGGTCTATAACTATTTTATAGAATATGTTGCCTGCATTGCAACATGTCAACAATATTGCCAATGCAAAACTGTACCTCAGTATATCTTGTTTAACTCGTTTAACTATTTTTTACTTCCGATCTATGATCTATCACTTTCTCTCTTGAGTTCCCTTTCGTTTCTTCATTCCTTCGACCGCCTCCGTGGTGTAGTGGTTAGAGCGTCCGCCCGGAGAGCGGAAGGTCGCGGGTTCGATCCCCGACCGCGTCATACCAAAAGACGTTAAAATATGGTACTTGTTGGTCCCTGCCTGGCGCTCGGCATTAATGGGTACAACAAGGATCGACTGGTCGGCTCGGAGTCAGTATAATGTGTCTGAGTGGGGTATTCCTGCTTCACTGCGGCTTGGTATCTCAGTGGGCTAGCACTATAAAACCAGCTTCAGTCTGGGCTAGTACAAGCAGCCGCACATACACATACACACGCATGCACGTCGTCATATGAGCGAACTATTCTCAAGCACGACGTCAAACCCAATTTCACCTCACCTCACCTCTTCATTCCTTCACTTGTTTCTTTCGTTCTCGCTCCCGAAATACATATGTTTCTTCACCATGTGTTTCACTGTACTTCTGCACCCTCCCCTATGTTGTTTTCATTCGTATTATGGAGAGGTTTCATTACCTAACGATTTATTTCTAATTCATTAACAATGTAGGTTGAATTTTGGTTCCCTTCACATCCTCTTCGTTCTCTCTACATTTCCTATCGGGTCAGTGGTCAAGATCATTATGAAAACAGTTATCATTATCTGGACCCCAGTGCCTTTTAATATACGGCTAACGAGATTCCCGTACGTGGACGTACTCATTAACCCATTACGGATTTCACACAATCAATATTTGTATTGCTCTCCAAGGCAAAACAGGGCCCCGTCCTTTATTTGCTCTGTTGTTCTTCCACGATGCGACACGATATCTGCACACACAACCCAGTCACGTCCGAAATGCACGGGTAGGTATGTATGACACTGCACAGTGCCTGTACATTAGTAGGTATATTGACACAATAATAACCGCTGTGCCAATCACCAAGAAAGGCGGGGTGAAAGAGCACGCGAATCCCGGTTCAAGGGAGGTAACTCAGTGCGGTGGCGCGCCGCTCTCTTGTCGACTGATGCAGTGAGCAAAGGGAAGAGTAAGCGTGTCGTTTGGGATGATTTCCGTAACAAATGGGAACCGTTGGTGCACTGTGTGACAGCGTGTTACGTATTACGTGACGTGATAATAATTTTATTTACTACAACCTGTTCTGTTAACACGCTGAGTCTCTGAGGAATATTGGAAAAAACGGGCTCATAGACGAAAATTATGTTTCAATGTTGAAGTGTAAATGACTGGGGTGTTCTGTTAAACCCATTACTGACAATTATAGCAATTAACAGCCTTGTTTATTAACAATGTTCTTTGTTAGCTGCTAACGGTAAAATGACACCTGTCAAATATTTTATGTTACGTGCACAGAGTCAGGGCTGTATTGGTTTGTCCTAAAGCCCTGGTTCTGTCTGGGTAATAAACAGAGGGACTCATTATCGGAATACGCATGGGTAATGCCAGGTTTGCAGCATTGATGTTGTTTTGTTTTATTTAATTCCCCGCAATTCCAACTGAATGAGTGAGTTGAGATTTCCAGCCACTGTTAGCAATAACCACGTCATACCACGGTTGCTTGCCTCTCTCACTGTCCTTGAACCGAATTAGGGGCGGTTGGGTAGCCTAGTGATGAAAACGTTCGCTCGTCACGCTGAAGACCCGGGTTCGATTCCTCACATGGGTACAATGTTTGGAGCCCATTTCTGGTGTTCCCCACCGTGATATTGCTGAAATATTGGTAAAAGCGTGTGAAAGCATACTAACTCACTTGAACCATATTGTATTCCCATACGCCTAGTCTGTCATACAGACCCTGAAACAAATATACATTTGTATGTATGTGCATGTATGTATGTGTGTGTATGTATGTATGTATGTATGTATGTATGTATGTATGTATGTATGTATGTATGTATGTATGTATGTATGTATGTATGTATGTATGTATGTATGTGTATGTATGATGTATGTATGTATGCATGCATGGATGTATGTGTGTATGTATGCATGTCTGTGTGCGTGTGTGTATGTATGTATAATGCATATACAGTCCGTTTGATTTCATTTGAGACCGACGAATTGCTCACTAACACAAAATCTAATAAATGCAACAAAACCAAATTTTGCACACTCACGTGAAATCGACAGACCAACTCTGATGATTTGTCTCATAAATTTGCACAACCGAATAAAACAGTTGTTTAACAAACGATCATTATTTTGTTGTCACTTTTCGTTATCTTTCACGTGGGGGGCCGTTTTCTGGTAGAACAGCCAGGAGTGCGAGTTGCACGTATGAAATTGAAATTTCACTACAGACGCTGGCTGATTACCTGGCTGTTCTGCCAGCAAGTGGTCCCCCATCGTACAAAATAGCACTAAGTGACAACAAATTAATGATCGTTTGTTAAACAACTTTTTTATTCGGGTGTCCAAAATTATGAGACAAATCTTCAGAGTTGGTCTGTCGATTTCACGTGACAAATGAAATCAAACGGACTATTTGTCGGTAGGTAGGTAGGTAAGTATGTATGCATGTATGCATGTATACATGATTGATCAGCTAAATTCTGTGTGTATGTGGATGCATATGCGTATATTGATATGTGTTCTGCCAACACAGATGTATAGGTGAATGGCACATGCACGAGATTGTTATGAGTGCACGGTGTGTTTGCCTGTTCGTATTCTTTGAGAATGTTTCTATGAGTATCTAAGCAGGGCTCCAGATAAGGGCCGTATCGGCGCGTGTACGGATAAAAAATATGCACGACACGGTAGAAAATAATTTAGAAAACGTAGGAGATACGCACCACAGCAATCATTTACAGGCGTTTTTATCTGAAAAAGTATTGTTTTATTGTTCATTGACCTGTTTACACAAGAGTAGCAATGTTGTGGTGCATATATGAAACGAAACACAAGATTACTAGCTGATACTCCATTAATTTCCATTCAGTACTCTAAATCAGGGATATATATAGTCTCACTGTCTAAATGTACACTTAAGGTTTTCCAGGAGTACGTACTCCTGATGTTGAAATATTATCTGGAGCCCTATATGTATGTGTATGTATATGTATTTATGTATGTATGTGTTTGTATGTATGTATGTATGTATGTATGTATGTATACATGTTTGTATCCTGCATGTATTTATGTATGTACATATGTATGTGCATGTATATATACATGTATGTGTCCTTCTGAATGTATTTATGTGTTTGTATGTATGTTTGTATGCATGTATATTATGTATGTGTATGTATGTGTTTGTATGTATGTACATTATGTATGTGGATGTATATATACATGTATGTGTCCGTCTGAATGTATTTATGGATGTATGTGTTTGTATGTATGTATTATGTATGTATGCATATATATACATGCATGTATATATATGTACATGTATGTGTCCGTCTGCATGTATTTATGTGTTTGTATGTATGTGTTTGCATGTGTATGTATATTATGTATGTGTGGATGTATATATACATGTATGTGACCGTCTGCATGTATTTATGTATGTGTTTGTATGTATGTACATGTATGTGGATGTATGTCCGTCTGAATGTATGTATGTGTGTATGTGTTTGTATGCATGTATATTATGTATGTGCATGTATATATACATGTATGTGTCCGTCTGAATGTATTTATGGATGTATGTATTT